GTCTGGACTGTCGTAGTCGATGCGTGCGACGTTGACGCCTGATGGGAAGGTGGCTTTGGACTCCATACGCGTGACGGCTGTGACGTTGAAATGGTTCTTCGCAAGGAGGGCTGAGGTAATGTATGAACCGACGTTGCCATTGGCACCGACTACGGCGATGTTCTTAAGTTTGGATAACAATGCCATATTGCTCAGTATGAGGACGAAGGAGTTCTGTGGTTATTGGTAGAGGGAGAGAAGCGTGTCAAATTGTCACTTAAATACTTGGGAGTGACTTCCTTCTATACACCTCTTGAGGTACATTAGGCAATATCAATGTTGGAAGGCATACGGTCGGTATTCGGTCGTAACCTTCTAGCTCCGCCCATGCATACCTAGGTAGACAAGGAGGTGCTCCTATGCTGCAACCAGTGTAGCTCGATGAGCCAATACACACAATGTCGACTGGCAACACTGTTGGATCCTTGTTCAGGCCTCCAGATTTATACAAAACAAGCTAAGTATGCACCGAAGTCCGATTGCTGACATGATGTGTCCGAGCTGGACAGACGTTAAAGCGCGAGCACCGAAGTGTGTGGTGATGTCATTTACAAATTCGGTTAGCGCGTGTGGGTAGCGCCCGGGCGCCCATCTCCACATCCGCGGTCAACAATTCCGCACATGGAAGACGCGTCAAAAGAAGGGGTGACGGACGTCCTCCCGACTTCTCGTCATACGAGTTTACCCCAACCAAGTCGGATGTTACGCAATGCTCGTTCCGTCTCCGTCATTTCGCTGGAGTCTTGCGCGCACGAATGCCACGCCGCATAAGTGTGGCTGCCTAAAGGAAGCAGCTCAGCTGCAGCCGTTCGCCAATCATGAGTGTCTTGCACAGCCCCTCCACCAGGGGACGAAAGTCTCAGGCCAGCCTGGTTCTCTCCAGCAATCGCGACAGCATTGCCTCGACAACGACGCAGAGCCTGCTACATGACGGCTGTTCAGGATTACCAGTACCGACCGCTCGCAAACGATGGCAACACGCGTTTCATACAACTGTACCCAGCGGCGCACTTCGAAGATCCCATACGCGTGGACATCGTCGAACAGGCGTACGATGCCTCCAAGACCCAAGACCCAGTCAGCTACGAAGCTTTATCGTATGCTTGGGGCGCAGATGAAGATTCGGCGTACATCTTCGTTGGGGCGAACTCTCGCTTGCGTGTCCGTCGCAATGTTACCCAGATCCTGAGGTACCTGAGGGATGGTAATACCCCAGGATGTACTACCCGAACCCTCTGGATAGACGCTATATGCATCAACCAAGCGGACGACGAGGAAAAAGGAATGCAGGTTACCATGATGGGGAACATTTACGCCTGTGCTAAGAGCGTGCTGGTCTGGACTGGTGAACCCGGATGCGATCTGCAAGCGCTACAGCGAAGCTTAAAAGGGGAGGACCTTTATACTCAGGAGAATCAACTCCCCCCTCGTTTCACGCAATTCTTTGAGACCGGATGGTTTACGAGGCGCTGGGTAGTTCAAGAGATTATGCATGCCCGCGAAGCCTACTTCGTTTGCGGTAGTGGCACAATGCAGTGGCAGCAATTCTGTGCGTTTGTCAAACATCTGGAATTTGCAATTTTCTACGAAGCATTGACGCCACATGTTACGGCAATCTTGCATCACTTGAGCAATCTCACTGCAGTACGAGATACCGAGTCTGAAAAACTGTCTCAGTGCGATGAAAATACTACTTGTGTCCAAATGGATCGCACGGTAGCTAGAGCCGAGAATATGACGACACTTTTGACACGGTACTCTACTACCAGATGTGCAGATGATCGCGACAGAATCTATGCACTGTGTAGTCTCAGTTCGACACCAATTCCGGTCGACTACCAAGTCTCAGCCAATGAGCTTTATGACCGGTTAAGCAAGATAGAAGTGATCCGATTTCCAATGGCCATAATGAGCTGCGCTGGGTCCTTCGGTGGACTCGCATCTTCATGGGTCCCAGATTGGAGATTACCCATGCGATACAGCCCTCTCCAGGCATCGCTTAAGATGCAATGCCCTGCATCGCCGGCGGAGGGAGAACTGGCCAGCGTTATGAAAACGTTTCTTACGATACAGGCAACTTTTGGTGGTGTTGTTGATAGTGTCGTGGATCCATCGGGTCGCACGTATGAGACCGATGATGTGACGATGCACAAATGGTACAATTATTTCGCCCGATATCACAAGAAGACGACGACAGAGCTGACATCGATGGATGGATTGATCTTATATCATACTGTGAGAGCGACACCTATCGAAGAAGATGACATTGTAAATCATCAATCTTCTTCCTTCAGGGAGCAGCATTCACGTTTCATAAGAAGACTCCGTCATTGGGCATTGCACAGCACGGACGGGTTTGAGAAGACGATGATGTCGGAGGAAGCAGGAGACATGGGACTCGCCAGCATCAAACGGGGTCGCTCGTGTTTCTTTACAGATGCAGGGCAGTTCGGGTTGGGACCAGATTCGATAAAGGTTGGCGATTGCGTTGTGAGCATGCCAGGGTGCGACTCCGTGATGGCACTTCGTCCGGTCGATGCTGATCAGAATATCGAGCCGATATGTGGAGACATAGGATCATCTCAATATCCGGCTATGATGGTCGTCGGTGACTGCTGGATACCTGAGCTTGTCAAATCTAACAGGCAAAGTACTGCATCTGATCTTCGCACATTTCACATCGTGTAAAAGCGCGAAGCCTAGCAGCATCTGTACGTACTTTTCTCGACGTAAATCTTGCACTAGCTAATAATGTAGGGACCGCGACAACACATAATCAATTCACAAGCGCGATCGACTGTCATGCGACTACAGAACAATCTCATCTCGGCGAGCTTCACCTTCATGATCAATCCCTTGGTGCTCTTCTTCAACATACTCTTCATCTTCCTCTTCCTCGTCCTCAGTCCTATCACCCATGACCTCCGCATTCTCCGCATTTCTCTGTGGCCTCGCCCGGCGAGGTCGTCTGATAAATATTGCACCTCTTTGCGGTGTGCGTGGATTGTTTGGCGCTCGAGTAATCACCGGTGTGCGATGTGGTCCACTCTGCATCGGCACTGACCACGCGGCTCTTGCACGCGCCTCACCCCTCGATTGATCCCGACACATACCCGTCGAACTTGCACCTCGCCTTCCTAAACCAGGTGAGGGTGGACGAAACTCATATCCCATATGCCCGCGCTCCCTATATTCGAAACCACCATACCCTTGGCCCATTCCACCGAAAGGCTGATTGAAGTTGTGATTGTGCTGGAATGTCTGTGGCCTTGGAGCTGGCGGAGCTGTACGGTATTCATCCTCAGAAGGTGTATACCAAGCTGAAGCGGCAAATGGGTCGGGCCGTCTTGGACGTTCGATTCCATAATAATGCGGTCCTGGTCGGGCTGCGGGCATTCCCAGCGGGGCTTGCGCCGTGATGGACGTGCTGAGGCCTGCCATGTTCCTCGCCCAGGAATGCAAAGCATCCAGTTCACGAAGGAAATTGTGAAGCTCGGTTTGCTCGATAAGGAAGTATGTTGACCGCATGTTGGATGGTGTTGTCTTATGAGCTTCGAGGAAGTATATTGATATAGTGATACCTTCTACTTGGGTTCATCGCAGTGAGGCAGAAGGACTTTCTATATACACGTCCAAAGTAAAATGCGCCGGTCTAGATTGGTGCGCTCGTAGGCCACGTCTACTAATTGCGTACTCCGACAGTGGAAACGAACGCTTCGCAGAGTGTTTGGCGAGCATACAGGATTTGTTTGGCATTGCAAATTAGGGCTGTTCGCTACATCGCACTATACAGTCACGATCAACACGGCCATTCGCTAAGACTCACAAAGCCACTGTCCAACAGACTTAATTAATCATCACAAGTATCAAACTATCGAGAAGATATTACGAACGCATAGGCCGTCGCAAGTACCCAATAACAACTGAACTCAACCACATCTTCCCGCACCACCCACCCACTTCATTCATCACAAGGCCTACGCCTACCTTCCTTCCCACTCTCTCATTCCATCTGCTTCTCCCATATCAGAAGCACCCTGAAAATCAACACAACCACAACAGGCAGCCAGAACGCTATCAAACCCCTATCCACATTCGTAAACCGCGACACATGCTCTCCATCATCTGGCTGATTTGGGTGTAGAAAATCCTGAGTATACACTAGCATGCGCTCGATGATATAGTAGGAGATAGAACCAGCAAGGCTGACCGCGAATAGGATTTCAAGCAAAGAGAGGGCGATTACGAGAGGTAGGAGGAAGAGGGGCGGATGGGCGCGTTGGTCGGGCATGTTGCTGAACGGATGACGATAGGTTCAGATAGTGTTAGTCAATTTGGTCAAGACGAGGATGGAAGTCATAGCAGAGCAAGATGTGGTGAATGTTTTATCGTATATTTTCTAGTCTATTTCCTCGTCCCCCGTTTCCGTGTTGATAATAGCGCCCTTTACATCAAGCGGCCGCGTTGATAATGGTGATGATGATGAACATGCAGCTGCGTTCGCGTCGCTTAGCCGCTTAGCCGCAAACGCTACTAGCGATGATGCAGCCCGTGAAATGTGTGATGGTAATGTCGTCGAACGCAGAAGTAAACGCAAGAGAAGAAAGATAAAAGAAAATGAAAGAAAGCAAACGCCGTGCTTTGTTCTTCCGTGAACTGTGTCCGCTCAGTATGGTATCGTAATGCGACTGACCAAACGCCTTGCTGTGTTCTTCCGTGAACCGCTTCCGACCAGTGTGGTGATGTGAAAGCAGACAATCAAACGCCGTATGCAAAGAGGAAAAGTGTGTCCAGATGCCGGTCGAGATATCCTATAGCCAAACACCGAATGCAAAGACCGCGAGGTATCCAGACGCCGATCAGGATCTCCTGTAGTTAAACGACAATAGTGTGAGAGTGAGGTGCGTCGGCCTGCCATGAGGGTGTCCAAGCATGCCTCGAACGGATGTGGTGATGTAGTCTTAGAACGAGTTGTAGGAGATGTTTGATTTCGCAGGTTCATAGCCAGGGTAAGGGCCAGCGTGCTTCATCTGCCAGTGCAACTCCGCAGACTGCTCGCTCTTCTGAGCTTCTTCCTCAGCCTGCTTGGAAGCGAGCCAGGTTGTGAGCTCAGACCTGAGTCTCTGATCGTCTGGATCCTCTGTGTTCTTCGGCTGCTGCTCTGTAGTTGGCTGCGCGACCTTGGCTACCTTGGTCGCGGGGCTTGCCTCATCGTCGTCAGAACGAGGTCGTTTCAGCTGAGGCGCCGGTTGTGTTTGCTGAATACGTTGTGGCTGTGGCTCCTGATGTTGCTGAGCTTGTGGAGCTTGCAGAATACGTGGTGACTGCAGCTGTCGATGTTGCTGTACTTCTGGAGTTTGCAGGATACGTCGAGGCTGTTGCGCGAGCTGTTGCGGCTGCGACACCTGCTGTAGCTGCCTGGCTGGTTGATGCTGCTGCATTTGTTGCATTTTCTGCTGATGTAGCTGCCGTGCGTTTTGCATTCTTTGCTTGTAGACATTGCGAAGATGCAGCCCTTGCTGCAGTTCGGGCAACTGTCTGAACTGGAGCGATCGCTCAGGACTGAACGAGTTGACGTATTGCTGTACGAAGTTCTTGAAGTGTGCCTGTTGCGCTGCCTGTTGTCGCGCTGCCTGTTGCTGCGCTGCCTGTTGTTGCGCTGCTTGTTGTTGCGCCAGTTGCGCTGCCAATTGCTCTGCCAGTTGTTGCGCCAGTTGTTGCGCCATCTGCTGCTCGCGCGCCTTCTGAATCTCTTGCTGTTTACGTTTCTCGATCGCGTTCTTAACGATCTCGTTTTGCTTCTGGGAAGGCAACTGTTGGAACTGTTGCTTTGCCCGCGGGTCCAACCTCTGGAAGTAGGCCATTCCAAACAGGGCAAACTGACGGTTCAGGCGTGCCTGAGACTCATCGCGAGTGGGAGGCTGCGCTTGCATAGTGGTCGGGCGCGGCTGTGATTGAGTTGATATGGCCTGACGGCGCATGTACTCGGCCATCATCTGCGGACTCATCTTGGGAGTCGGCAACTGCGCTTGAAGAGGGAAGGCCATCGCGGGATCGTGCGGCGACTGAGTCTGATAGCGACCATGTGCGCCCTGTGGGGTTTGCGGGCCGCTGGTGTAGCTATTCACGGAATCCCGTCTGACGGTGTGGTCGTTTGCTGCCATGACGAGCAACTGGTGTGGGCTGAAAGAGCAAAGGTAAAGGGTTGTAAAGATGAGAGTAGCGGATGAAAATACTCAAGGTTGTGGGTGATGGGGATCAAAATAGAGGGTTGTGGTAGTCAAGATGGTGGGATGTGAGAGTTCAAGTTGAAAGAAGGTGACAAGGCGGAAAAAGCCAGACTATATGGCCTCTGTGTGCGTATTACCACGCTCACCTAACCGAGCGGAGCGAGAGATATTGCGAGAACAGGTGACTCAATCGGACGGCCGGCCACAATAGAAGCGAAAGGACAAGTGAGAGTGAGAGGGAATAGCAATGGCCGCGCTGCTACTGGCTGCCCGATAGTCGTCGACCACAGAATTCAGGGTCCAGTGATCAAGTCCCTTAACGCCGACATCCCATGAGTCTGACAGAGTCCAGCAGGTTGAAGAAATAATTGGTCGCAAAGAGACCTACATATAATAGTCCTGCAAGACTCACGATCCCAACGATATCGATATTGAGCTAGTATGCGGGAAGATGAGTGGGGGAGCACGGGCCTCCAAGCGACTTAGAGGGAAGTGCGCGCGGGTTCGCCTAGGGACGGATAGCAATGCAGGCACGTTTGTCAGCACATTTCGTACTGAACCCAAGGGTGTTAACAAGTGGAAAGCTCTTGCACATCGTTCCGAAATTCTTGTAACCTTGCTAGTGCGCCAGAAAACCACAAAGATGCCGCGGTGTTTTACACACTCCGGCAGCCCCAAAGCGCCCAAAATAGGTAAATCAAACAAAGTGCGCTCGTCTCGACCTGTGTGACAGTAATCAATATGACATCTTCAGACTTCCAATCCGAACCTTGGTTGAGCCCCAGTCTTGAACGTGGACCAGCGTCTATACGTAGCCTGCCAACACGCGTCAGCCCACAGTGCCCCAAACTCCTCTCATGCTGAGAGAGCTGTCATATAATACCTTTCCTAGCGCCCTGGAAGAAGAAGCGGACAATGAAGACCTGCAGTCCTGCCATGGTCATAATCAAGCCCGACTCCATCAAACTGAAGTTGAATATCCTCTTCTCGGTGCTCTTGACGGTGCTGAAGTTGCGGTTCTCGCGCGTGCGGAAGTATTTCTGGTTGCGGGAGATGGTGGAGAGTTGCGCGGAGAGCTTGAGGATGGATTCTTCGAGGACAGAGGTCTGCTCGGGGGACGAGCCCTGCTTGGATGGGATTTTGGCGCGGGCGGCTTCGTTCTCAACCTGTAAGAACATGGAGTCAGCATTACGGTTCGGCGATGTCTGGAGAGATATGGCCAGGTGGTACGTACGGCGATCTCGAAATCGACCATCTTCTCGGCGAATGTGCTCATCTCGTTGTTAAAGCAGAAGCGGTATTCGCCCACGTCAAGCGCCGTGAAGACAAAATCGCCCTGTCGCTCCTTGGTGCCGTCGAGAATGACTTTGTCTGTGGGGCCGACAACCGAGTAGTCGACATCGAAAGAGCCTCCGGATTGCACCTGTTCACATGTCCGTCAGCTCGATTGCCATAGATTTTGCTGCTACTGCATAGCGATGTGGTTCTGAACGGCCCAAAAGCAATTGCGCATAGATCTTCCGGGTGGAACACATACTGCAAAGTAAAAGGCCAGCTTGGTCCCCTTGTTCTCAACGGTCGCGAAGAAGCATGCTTTCTCGTGTGCTTCTAATCGGTAGGTGAGAGCGGTTGCGTACACAGCCGTGGTATATGCCAGCAACGCGCTGAAGAGGGTGAGTAGTGACCGCATCGTGTTCGTTGGCGTGGACGACTGCGTTTGTGGATGCGTGCTCGTGTGCTGGAAGTTACAGCTGTCGACATCGAACGTCGGCGGTAGTTTTTGCCGACGCAACGCATGCAGGGAGGGAAGGCGCGGGGAACTAGCCACCAGCCAATGAAGATCAAGACGACCGCGAACAGGTAGCGCAAGATGCAGATCCTCGACGCGTAGTCAATTTACTATTATCTTGCTGCGCGTTCGGCATGTGGACCTTTTGCGACTGCTCATCGATTTTTCAAGAGTGAAACGCGGTGGTACAGTATTACAATATTTATTCCCGGATAGGTGGCTGGCGTCTGGTACCATGGGATGGGTGGAAAATTCAGTCGACAACCACAGTGCAAGTTACACTGGTGACATGAAAGCAGAATGATGATATCTTTGGGACTAATCTACACTGCTTACTTACTGATCCAAAATGATACGCCATAATCATGTGCCCAACGCCTGCGCCAACCTCCCACGCACGCTACTCCGCCTATGCAATACTTGCAATATTTCAAGCTCCATTGCGCCATGTATGTTGGAGGGTGCGCAACCAACGCTTTATTGCCACTCCCTGTGAAATGCTGGCAAAACTTTGCGGACAATCTCATGCCGATCGTACCCGTGCCGAGTAATGTTACGCACCGTGCTTTTCTTCGTATCTTACACAGTCATTGCGCTGCTTCAACGAATGAAGATGGAATCAGTCTTTCCCCAAAGCGTCTTTGTCTTGGCGGGGTGTTCAAGACCAAGTGATACATCGTCACGCGCACCTACCAAGTCCCAAAGTACTTCATCTGTGACTTCGTCAGTGCTGCAATATCGCCATTGCCAAAGTGGCTTACCGTCATCGATTGGCTCAGGCTTCGCGTATTGACCCTTGCCGACAAGAGAAAACTTGATCTTGTCCAATTGCTTGCCCTTGATCTTGGTGAAGTCTGAGAGTCGCTGTTTTGTTTCGCTAAAAGGCTCGCCCTGATGTATGTTAGTGCAAGTAGAGGAGGTAGACTTATGGCTGCACGTACCTCTTTCAGCGCAAACTGGAACGGGATACCATGTGCCTTCGATGGCTCCCTGTCAAAGTGGAATACCGAAATCTTCTTCGATGCATCGTCTTCGGGGTAAGGCGCAGCAAAGATTGACGTGTAGTCGTAGAGGCTCATGACAGAGTGATCTGGCGGGAGGACCCTGTGGAACTTATTCACATGTGCCTCGTAGACCCGCACCTTTTGCATCACCTCGTCGCTGATGCCCGCTTTTTTTTGCAGCGCTTCAGCGAGATCCGCAACTTGGGCGTTCTTGGGTACCATCAAAACGTGCTCCTCCTGTATGACGTTAGTTTGAAGCAAAAACAATCACTGTGTTCAACTCACCTCTTTGCTGAGACCCTCAGGGAGCCACACCACCTTTACAGGTTTCCTCAGCTCTAATTCCTTCAGGCTCATATCCAAGACCTCGTAAAACAGGGCATCGTTTCGCTGATTTGCGCTTGCCGAATAGTTGTATGGGCCAGGGAAGAGGATGTTGTTCAGAGTTGACGTGGGGTTGTACTTGACAGGGTTTTTAGGCTTGCCAGCAGTGCTAACCGTCGAGAAGCGGATATAGCTAGAGTCGGTTTTGAGGTACTCAGCCACCTTGCTGGAGAACTGGTCGTACGCCATCTTTTTGCTGAGAGTCAAGGAGAATGTGGGTAGATCTGTATCAGGCAGCTTAGGCACGAACTCGATGCTGACTCTGTTCAAGAGGTAGTCGTAGAATTCCTTTGCCTCGGTGTAGCCTCCCGCAGTGGTTATCTGTGCGGTTTCCTTGTCGCTCAGTACGCGCTGGACCGTGATGATGTCACCATCTTGTATCTCCGAGGCTGCCAGTGTGACTTTTGGCTTCATCGCTTCGATCATATTCTGTTTGATCTCCTCAGAAAGCTTGATCTGCGTACCCGCTGGCCAGCCCAGCATCTTTGTGATTGCTGGAGTTAGATCGGAAACCTTGTCCTGGAATCCAGCGTAGAAGGTGCCAACACCGAATAGACTCTGCTCTTCCGCGTCGAAGTGCTTCAAAAAGATCATCAATGGGCGGTTGTTAGCCTGACCCTTGAGGTCCACTAGCTTCTCGCCAAACACTGGCGCGCCGCTTTCGTCGCGTTCTTGAGCTTTCTCGATCCACATCCTGAACTGCGACTGTTTCGTGCCATGTTTGCTTGCAGCCTCTTCGACGGTCATCTCCGGGAATTCCAGTGCGGTATCGGGGCGAATTGTGCCGTTTTGTCTATTAACCATCGACCATGGCCGCAACATATCGGCTTCGGTTCCTAGATCTTGGGCGACCGTAACCGCAAAGTCGGCCATAGTTGTGCTTCGGAGCACACGGTAGACCCTTGGGCTAGCAGGTGTGTCTGCGTCGGCTTTCCATGGAACGATGTCAAAACCTTGGTGGGCCTTGAACTGTTCATCTGACGCGACCGCAACGTCCATGTAGAGATGAGCTTCCTCGCGTTCCTTCTTCCTGCGCTCAAACAATGCCCGTTCTTCAGCCAGTCGTTCTGCCAGATGCTTCGGTGGTTCTACCGCCTTGCTGTCTATAAGAACTTGATCAAGCCTCGTCTCCCTAATGTATACCAACATGTAGGCGCTCATTGAGCGTTTTGCGGACCAGGCTCTGGTGTAGGGATTGCGTTGGCCAGTGTTCCCGTTGGCCTGGGCGTAGTCACCACCAAAGTTTTCTTCCAGCGCCTCACGTAGTGTCGCTCGAGTCACACGGTCGTCGTCGAATTTGTAATAGTGGCCATCTTTCGTTGGCTTCAGGAAGGCGTAATAGTGACCAGCGTTGAGATCACCGCTGTGAACCAAGACGCCGTGGAGGTGGTATATCCAGGATTCGGATCGATCGGCTCCGTCGGAGAGATATGGCGCAGCGTCCCACACTTCGGGGAATTCGTAACGGTCGTTCACCTTCATCATGGCGTCGCGCGTAAAGTCGTATTCGAAGCGCTTCAGCTGGAGATGTAGCACTGGCGGGAAACTTTCGAAGATGACACCCTTTTTAGCGTCTTGCAACCCAAAACCCTCTGCAAAAT